AGTTATTTTCCTTTTTGCCTGGCGGAGATGGAGATTTACGAATTTGTTGCACATTTTATTATGTGATTTGTGCCCTGTTGATTCGGCCATATATCGATACATAGATACATGTACGTTCCTCGGAAACGGTTTCAAATAGTCGGGGGCGTTAGATGTGCGATTCCCGTGGCGTTCGGGCTGGCATCATATCCAGATCGATTTCTAAATTCAGGTGATAGATATATGCATAATAGTAGGGAGTAGGGTATTCCCTACCCGACCGACCAGTTTATGGCCCCCCATATACGATGCCCATGCGATCCCTACCGTTTTTTGTTCTCTCACCTCTTCAATGGTCTCGTTCTTGTGAAGTTTTCTTTCAGTGTCAAAGTGTAATAAAATATTACTCATGGTAATTAAAATTTTGTGCTGCGTTGTGAGCTCTTTTTTTTATTTCTTTGCCGTCGGCTCAAGTTCAATGTGCACAGGGGCGGGGTAACGGGGCAACGGGGTAACAGAGGGGGCTACCAGCAAAGTGGAAAAATTAAAACAATTAAAAAGCGTTAGTCGAGGTGCCCAGCCAGCTCGGCTCAAAACTGAAATAAAATAAAAATCCACACAGCCTAGCAGCTCGTAAACCTGAGGCAAAAAAAAAAAAATAACAAAAAAAAGAAAAAAACCAACTACGCTGCCGGCGACAGTTCAACGACATGTTTATTAAGTCATACGCAAAATCTTTTCTTTTTTTCCATACTTTTTTGTTTTTTATTTTTGGACCCGCCTGGGACCAGACTTTAGGCCGGGTCTTAACTGTCTGAGAACCCGACGGCGAGATTTATGCGGCCGCACTCTATGAGATTACATAAATGGCCATTAAAATGTATGCTAATAAAAACAAGATATGATATGTCCGACCAGGCAAGCGCACAAATTATATAATTAAGGCCCGCCAGAAAGGCAATAGAGGCGCGGAAAGGGGCAAGCCGCGTCACTTAGGATCCTCCATCTCAGATATGACTTGGGAACACACAAGTACCTCATATATTCAGTCGGCTATGGTGTACGATTGTAGGTATTACAATCGATAGTGCCGCGGCAGTTTTTTCTACCAAATAGTCATTGTTGGCCATAATATTTTCCATTTATTTCCGGTTCTCAATCACAGTTTTCACAGTATTTATTTTATAGCGTTGTCTTAGCTAAAACACTCGGTAGACGCGCTTCGTCACTACGTGAACTGCCCTGGTTTTAGCATTTGCGCTTTCTAATAATCAAATAATAATCAAAACAATTGCAATTGGGTTTGTTCACTGCGATCCATTAGCAGCCATCGATAGACCTTTTTTCGCATCTATCATCAGTTTTTCCCGAGCAACTTTTGCGAGCCGCGCATATCTTGTTAAGGCTCAAATGATATTGGGAAAAAATCCGCTGCCCGCCTGTCGTCATTATCATCATCATCATCAACATCGCAATCGAGCCGTCGAAAAACAACAAAAGCACGGCTTGAAGCCGGCCGGCTATGCAAATAATAACAGCTGTAAAAAGCATAATAATAATAACAATAATAACCATCACAGCGCGTCGGCAGCGGCGATAAAATAATAAACATGGAAAATATTGAAATGCGAACGCTTTGAAATGCAAATCACGCGGCCAATTTGACAAATTAATTGAATCGCTTTGTAAACAAATCGAATTTCAATTGCAAGCGGCTCATGGCTAATTTAACATGAAGCGGTCGAGGGAGCGGTGGGGGGTGTTTATTTTGGGGGGATCACCCGGAGGGGATTGACTGGGATTGACTGGTATTGACTGGCGGCCAAATGGGATGTGATGAGATATGTCGGGCAGCAGTGTCATAAATTGAACTGCAATCATAAACCTCAATTAGAAGTCGTGCTAATGGAAAGTGAATGTGCGTGGTGACGAATGTCATGCGGCGAGAGTCGTAGAATCGAATCCATTACGGGTAGCGATGAAATGCGAATGGAACAGAGCTGTGATTAATACAGGAATTGTTTATATGACATGAATGTAATCAAATTCAGAATATCTTGCAATATTATTATATCATTATTGTCATATATCTATCTTGCATATCTTGCAATATTATTATATCATTATTGTAATATGCGTATCTTGTATATCTTGCAATATATTATATTATTATTACAATAAGTGCATCTTGCACATCTTGCAATATCATTATTGTAATAAGTGTACTGAGAATGTGAATAGTATTATCTATCAAGGTGCAATTCATGCCTTTTGTATCCCATAGATACTCATGCACCTAAGTATTAGTTCCTAGAGTCAACCAATGGTGGAGAAACCGATCCATCAGCTGGAAAGGAGACTATCCCAACCCGTTGACTGGATTGATCGTGGCAATATAATTGAGCCGATGGCCTAATTGAGTTGCCACTTGTCTGCCGGGCGATTGAGCATTTCGGGTACACAAATTGAGTGGCAAACAGGACATGGCCAAATAGATACAGATACATCCTGTTCGTGCGGGACAGGACGCAGTTTGGCGCGGCAGAGGACGCTGCACGGCATGGGATTCCTGGAAGGTGCCGCAGGACAATAAAAAACACAAAAAGAGATTGGGAATTTGTGAGTCGGCGAAGAAAGGAAAAAGAGGAGCGCAAAATGGCAGGACAATGGCAAAAAGTGGCCCGGCACAAAGGACTGCACAAATGCAGTTATCTTGCAAAATTGTCGACACAATGCGTGGGAGCGGGACGGCGCAATGATGGGTTATTAAATGTTGTTAATCTTTTTCTTTTTTTTCTCAACCTCCTCCTGCCCAGCCAGGCACATATTCAAATTTCATCGGCAGGAGGAAGGTAGCCAGCCAGGTAGTCAGTGCGGCTGGCCCGTTATGACCAGGCCAAAAACAATGCCCCGAACGGAATCTGAAATCCGAAAGCCGACAACTGAAAACTGAAAACTGAAAAGCGAAATACCGGAATACTACTACTCCAGTACTGGAATACTGGAATACTGGAATGCCCGCCCGACCGTCGACGGGCGTCGAGCCTCTTGGCATTTGCCTTTATTGTGCACGCTGTTTAAATATTTACCGAGTTTTACAATATTTATGACAGCTAAAAACATAACAACACCTACTTACCCGAAAGGGCTCAGGCCAAAAAGGGGACACTTGACACTGGACTATGGCCCAGAGAGCCGAGCCAGACCCAAGCCAGCACCTGAGCCCGAACCCAAACCCAAGCCGAAGCCGAACCCAAAACCGAATATAAAAACCATAACCCTGGAGCGGCTTAAAGTCTGGACTTCCTTCGATCGATTGCAATCAATAAACGGCTTAGGCGGCATCATAATGCGCATGCAGAAATGTTTTTGCTCAGCGTCTCGTGCTAATCCATTTGCATGTCAACATATCCTAGGCACTCTCCCTCTGGCATCCAGGACACATCCAGGACACAGGGCAGTCTGCTTCCGTTCGCTGAGCGCTAATAATCCGAGTGGACTTGGCCATAAGTTGCCACTAAGCGCCCTAAACGGAGCTTGGCAATAAGCCAAGGCATTAAAAAGTAAATTTGCCTAAATCCGCTTCAAACAAAGCGGGGATTTCTCGACACCAGACCGTGCTGCAAACTCAGACCGGTGGCCAGGACAAGTGTAGCCGTGTTGTACTTAACCCCGGGGATAAGCGGCAGCTCATCTGCCCCCCGAATCCCGGCACCTTAGCATTCCCGGCCAGAGCTAATGCCACCGATTTATAGTTATGCGGCTGCACTTGGCGCGAACTTTCATTGAGTGGTTCATTGATCGCAGTCCATTCATTTCCACTGGACACAGGTAGGCGCAGGTGGGGATCGGGATCGGAATTGGAATCGGGATCGGGGTCGGCATCGAGGGGAACTGGTAACTGGAAGCCTGACGTGCTAATAGCTTGACGCCGCTGGAGATCATAAAAGCCATGACCCACGGAGGAGCCATAAAGACGCATCCAAGGCGAGGAGGAGGCGAATCCGCAGAAAGTGTGTCAAGGGAATTGGCTCCCCAAGGGATGCGGATGCCATATACACGACAGTATTGGCCACATCAAGTACTCCATAGGAATTATATAACTTATATTGCTCCAATCTGCATTTAGATGACTAACTCATTATATAATTTCCATTTGGAAATATATCAAAAAAGATGAAAATGCATGTCTTCAATATGACACCATCTCGAAGTATTTCCACTCCAGAGTTCCATTAAAAATTGAAATACAACCAACATGGGCAAAGAATGTGCATTCTTCACCATACTATTTAGTTCAAAAAATGAAAAAACAAAAGCAGAATTATTTTCAAAATTCAATTCAGTTTATTGTTCGCTTTATTCCGCTGCTGGCTTAGTCATATGTCGGTCGGTTCTATAAATACGAAAATCGATTTCTAAGGACGAGCTTAGGACTACGCAGGCATGGATGCCACATGCCGCCAATGCGATCTATATGTACAATTAGGTTAGATACGAACTAGTCAAGCACTATATCACAGATGTCAAAACACAAACTAGCCTACGAAAAAAAATGTGTGTGCCTTAAAATCGAAGCTTAGCCTACGGGACATGGATACGGATACGGATGTGGATATAGATATAGATATGGATGTGGATTTATGGGCAGGGATGCGAGGGGTTAGCTTAGACTACTGGGGGTCACATAGCATTCGATATGGGTTCGGGATGGGCCAAAAAGTGGTCGTGGCGAATAATACTTTCCAGTGGGTGGTGCTGGTGGTTGGCGGTTGCTCTTATGTGACTAGAACGGCAACTGCGGATAACTATCCCTCTCTCTCTCTCTCTCTCTCCCTCGCTCTCTCTCTCTCTCTCTCTCTCTCTCTCTCTCGACTGCTGTCAATAAATACGGAATGTGGTAATACTTGCAATGAATTCGAGAACAGGGACTCTGTGCTGGCAATCAAATAATTTACTTAAGCTACGATCGATCAATAAACGGTTAAATTAAAGGGTTTGGCTTTTTTGGGACAGGGGAAAGGGGCGTGTCCTGAGGAGATGGGCTTGGTGAGGGTTGGTTAAAGGGGGGTGGTGAGGGGGCGATTTCACGTGCGCTGCACGCGTTTCGACTGGCGCTTTCCACGTCTGCCGCGTGCAAATTGGTTGCTGCCACCAACGGAAACACCTGCCACTCCAGCCGCCCCACCTGCCACGGGCTTGGAGACCTCGTTGAACTCCTTGCCATTCAAGGTGGAGCTGCGCCACCGCTGCTCCAGTTGCTCCAGTTGCTCCAGCTGCTGCTGCTGCTGCTGCTGCTGCTGCTGCTTCTTCTGGCTCCTCTGCTGCTGGTTCCTGTGCTTCTTGTGGTGCTTCCGCGGCCGACTTCGCACCCGCTTGCCTTCCCGCCGCAGCAGCTGATACATGGTGCGCAGGAAGTCGTAGTAGTGGTGCTTCACGAAGCGCATGTCGATGGAGTCCGCCTCGCCGGCCATCGCGGATGCACTGGACGCACCGCCCATGCCGGAGCCACTCGTCTTGGAGCGCAGCTTCAGACGCTTGTTCATCTCGAGCCGCGAGATCTGCGGCAGCTGCTGCGCCACCGTAGTGGTGCCAGTGGTGTGGCCAGTAGTGGTGCTGGTGGTGCCACCAACTGCTATGACCGCCGCACCACTGCGCCGCTGCTTCTGGCGCGGACTCTGCGTCTGGTTGACGGCGGTCTCCAGCTCGCAGAGGATGCGCCGCGAGCTCAGGAGCAGCTCGCGCAGCTCGCGGGCGGTGCTGGACTCGCGGGTGATGGACCGCTGGTCCCAGCGGATCTGCTGGCGCCTCAGGTACGCGAAGCTGGCCACGTACGTTTGCATGTTGCGGTACCAGCGCTTCAGGGCAATCTGTGGGATACAGCAGAAGTGTGCAGGCCATGGTGAGTTATTTCAAAGATACGTCGATGAGATTTCAAAGATACTATAGTAACAGTGCTATTATAGGGGTGCTATTATAAAAGTGGTCGCTTACCGTGGAATTGGGCTTGAGCTTGGGCAGGAACTTGTAGTTGTGCGTGTGGAGCGACCACATGGTCATGTTGCGGATATCGATGGCCGAGTCCTGGCTGCTGTTCAGGCTGCGGTACTCCCTAAAGGCGTGGCGCTTCAGCTGATTGAAGCTCTGTGGAGGAGCAGATGCAAATGGAAGCGGGTTACATGTGGATCAGGTCGAATGTGGCACCCCCGTTTGAACTCACCTGCCTGGGCCGCTGGCGATTGAAGCGATCCCCCGCCGAGGGGTGATAGTTGCCCCCGCAGGGATTGGCCCACTCCAGGGCGGTGGTGTTCTCGTCGAAGTTGCGATAGTCGATCCAGTTGCTGTTCCGCTTCCGGTGGCGCTTGCGCGGACTGGCGCTGGCGGGGATCTGTGCCGGATTTGTGTGCTGCCCTGGAGCTGTGCTGGAGGTGGTGCGTATGCGCAGGCGGTCGCTGTCGATCACCGTGAGACCGCCGCTGCTGGTGGTGCTGCGTCCCTCCGCCAGGTGGGGCAGCTGGGCGGCGAGGAGCAGGACGAGTAGGGCGGGCAGAAGCAGGAGCAGCGGACGAGCCATCGCCGCATGGTAGCCACTTCCTCTTCGGTGCCGGAGTCCACTGCCGCTGCCGCTACCGCTGCCGCTTCCGCTTCCGCTGCTGTTTCCGTTTCCGTTGCCGGCTGCCGTGGTGCTGCCTTTAGCTGTGGTCGCAGCGCACTGCCAACCAACTGCTGCCCGTGGTCCGTAATCCGTATCCGTATCCAAGTCGGTGTGCAGATACAGCGAATATGTAGATATATATGGGAGGGCGGGGATGGGGTCAGGAGGGGAGAGATGTAGAGAAACACACAATGAGTATCGGGAATGCAAAAGTAAATGAAATGAATTTCGGCATCAACGCAAGACGACCAACGATCAACGGTTCCTTTCTGGATGAAGTGGATGGACTCTGAACTAAATGGATTCCTTTGGGCTGGATGGGCGGGTTTCTGGACGCGTGGGTGATTTGGTGATTGGGTGAGTGGTTCCTTCAATGCGAATGCAACTGCAACCGGACAACAGTCTGAACAATTTGGTTTGATTTTTTTAACATTTTCCCTGCGTTTGTTTTGCTGTTTTTTTTTGCCTTTCGTCTTTCGTCTTTTCCAATGCGATATATGTGTATATTGAAGGCGGGGAAAACTTTTTAATTTAGACAATTAACTCGAGAGTAGCCTGAGCGAATAATGAAGACGTATCGATCCGAGATTCGAGGATCTAATCTTCTCCAGTCGACAAAACACTGCCTTCTGGCTTGGCTTCAACTTCCAGTGTGTGAAAGTGTGGGAACTTTTGAGGTTGAATTTTGGATTTTGAGCTGATTCTGAATTTTGAAAATTTCAAATTCTCCATTCAAGTTAGCTACTTTATCTGACAGGATGGGAATTCGTGACTGAAGATCGTTTGCCGCTGAATATCAACGAAGGATTCACACAATTAATCCTGTGGATTAATTTTATCCTGTAGAAATATTTATCGAACTGTTACAAACTATTCATTGCAGTTGTTGTCACTGAATGTCCTTTCTGTATTCCAGCAGATCGTTGGTCGTTTCGCGTTGATAAATCACTTGAAGAGTGGAGAATCCCTTCTCCACACTCCAATTGCGCCTGCTCTAAGTATCTTAATCAAATCAAAAATAATACACACACCGCATTATAGATGAAAAGTGGAATCGGTCAGGATCCTCGCGGAATCCCCGTGGTTTCTGCTGCGCCTGAGCAGAAAAGTCCGTGCGTTAATCCAAATGGGCGATCGTTCGAGATACGTTGTTGATTTCCCGGCGGTTCTCAATGGGCACACTTGCAACACAACACTCGCAAAAAAATGTATTTATATTTGTATAATTGTTGGAAGAGCACTGGACAATCTGTGCTGCAGCTGGTGGGTTCTGATTTGTTGATTCTGTTGCTTGGGAGACTGATTCGCGGACACTTCTGCTCGCGTTCGAGTGTGAAACCGAACTGAGCCCAAAGTCGCGCTGGATTTGACCAGCTTTCTTCGCTGAGAGGCTGCGGATACCAGATACCAGATACCACAATACCAGAGCGATACCGACCGGCCAACCAACCAACCAACCGACCAACCGACCAACCGACCGACCAACCGATCGACCGACCGATGAGCAGCGCCAAAAGGCCGAAACCGAAACTGAGCTGGGAACTGAGGCGATCTGAGCCGCCTCTGCCGACGTCGCTGCCCGCCGACTGCCAACGAGCGGTACGCCATGGTCCGAGCCAGAAGAAGACCGCCGACTCGGACCGATCAGATTCAGATCCGAAGAACCGCAGGCTGTCCCGCTCCCGCGCCCGCTCTCGCCGAGCGCTTGGGTATCCTATGCCCAGGTCACCTGCGCATGTGTGCGTGTGCTCCTACCTGGCCTATGTGTGCGTGTGCGTGTGTGTGTTGCCTTTGAGCCTGCCAACCGGCTGTCCTCTCGCGCCATCCCGCTTGCTCCTGCGGGCGAAGGCGCTCTGGGTCCGGTCGCCATTGCAACTGGAATTTTCCCACTTGCCCAATCCGCGCCACTCACTCAAAGAGCGGGAAAGAGAGAGGCAGCGAGTGGAGGCATACCTGGTGCCCCAAAAGAGCGAGCCTACCTGGCTCTGTCCCGCTCTGCTAAGCGCGGTCAGCCGTGCTCCCTGTCTCGCTCCCACACACTCCCTGGGTGACCTTGAGCGGCCTGCTCACCCCTCCCAAAAAGTCCTGACATTCAAATCGGCCCAGAAAGTGATCAACGGAAATGACCAACATAACACCGCATTTCGAGTCGCTAAGCCAGGTAGAATCTCCATTCGAGAACCATCTACCATGTGCAATATTAGGTATTTATTGGAGGTGAGATCCCTAACCGTTTCTACGTAACTGTTCATTTTCTATACTACAATTTATATTTCAAACAAGTAAAATAGTTAAAAATAAAATGTGACAACCAACATTTTCTATTTTACAATTTATATTTCAAAAAGTAATTATACATAAATAAAATAGCTAAAAATAAAATATGACAACCAACTGGGGAAGTTCACTACTTCCCATCAGCGTGACTAGCATATTAAAATATGTCATGAGCTCTTTAAAGCCTGGATTTAAAGTTTTTTGAATTAAATATTTGATCATCATATTTCCACAAACACATAAATAAAACGGTTGATTACTAAGTATTTAATACGACTTATGACCATAATAACAATGTTATATTAAGAACGTGCCTCACTGTACATGTTTATATTTGCTTAATTAATTAATGAGTTTGCCTTATCATAAAATGTTGTATAATATTTTGCTTAAAGCTAGCTTAAATGTAGTTTACAGAGTTTCGATTTTAAGGCATCTTTTCAACTTAATATTACAATTTATTTGTGAATCATTTGAGTTTCCTTTAGTTAGTTTCAGTTTGGCTGATACTCGTGCAATTCCGCTATGGGTGGGAATATCATCTATACAGATAGATGGGCGATCTCCAGCACACCCAACTGGCTACCTAGGAATCCCTACAGCAAATATGCCCATATTTCACCCTATTTTCGAGGGCTTGCACAATTGACGGTCTAATTAAATCAAGAGTTTTGCTGCATTATGGCCGCATTGTTTTGGGCAGCCGAAAACAGCTGTAGATGGTCAGATAACGGACAGCGGACAACGGACAGCGGACAGCGGACAGCGGACAACGGACGGTGTGTCCTTGCGTCTAACCGTAAGTGCAGCGGGCAGCGGGCAGCGTGCAGCGTGCAGCAACTGCTGCAGGAAGCAGTTGTGTTGCGCAGCGGGGCCACTCGCCTTGATTTCGCCGCAAGGACTCGGACTCGGACTCGAATCTCGCAGGACCCACAACCCACAGAGAGGGACTCGCTCGCATATCGCACATATATCAAGGTGGCAGCGCACACCTTTTGTGCGACGTCGTCTCCTTTGGGAAACGGGCGGCATGGCACAAAAAGGGCCATTCGCACCCGGAGCAACAGCTTCATCTACAAGGATGCACAAGGATCGGGATCGGGATCGGGATCGGGAGGGACTCTTCCCTCTACTCGTACGCCCGAGATGGACACGATTATTGCATTGATGAGCTCCTGCTGCTGCTGTCGGTACACACACACACAGCACTCCCCGCGGGGAGCCAATCCCCCACCCAGTCGTCCGTCCAGCCTGGACTTTCTGTTTTACTTGCGATTCGTTCTGGGCAACAAAAATATTTTGCTACAAAATTGAGCTGTCCTGTGAGGTCCTCGCCCGCCCGTCCGTCCCGAACGCATTGTGTCCTGTCATGGTGTAATTTTTTAGCGGCGTAACGAATGCCAAGGATACGCTTTAATTGCCACGGCCAACACATCGACCTCGGGCAGGAAGGTTAACCGAGAGATGCAGATACAAGTACAAGTATCTGTAGATGTGCCATAAGGAGAACCATCCGTCATTACACGCTGCTTAGCTCCTGTCCTTTCGCAGGACTTGATCCCGTCCCAGGCATGCCTACCTACCTCCGCACCTCCGCACCTCCTGTTTTCCTGTTTTCGTGGGTGTGTGTGTGGGTGTGCGTGGGTGCGGGTGTGCAGTGGACGGGGGAGGTGTGAGTTACCCATTTCCCAGCTCAGCTCCTCAGTTGTTTTGATGTTTTTGATTATGCGTAAAATCGCTCGCTTTATCAGATCCCAAAGTGCAATTCTCACATCCGAAACGGCAACTTAAACGGTTAGTTAGTCGATTTGCTTGTCGGCTTGTATCTTGTTTGTTTGTCTGTTCTCGCCGCTTATCCGATCCTCAATGGCCATTGCAATTCGGATTCGCCATGCATTTGCTCTGGCACCTATGGGATTTATTTTCAGACGGCTCTAACCCTTTGATGTTCTTTTCTTGCCTTGAAATGGTGCATCGTTATGACTTAATCAGGGGTAAGTTGGTCGCAAACATAGAGGCAGTGTGCATTTGTCAGTTGTAAGTTCAAGTTAACATTGGTACATATATATAAATAAAAAGCTAATGCAAGATACATTAATCACTAGGTTTTAAATCGTTTGATATTGATTAATCGTCCGATTTCCAGCTTAGTTCGACTTGTGGCCTCATTTAATGGGCTCTCATTTATTTTTAAAACGCAATGCTTTGCAACAGCTCCTTAAAACAATTTACTAAAATAAGTTACAACTTTACTGACTATTTTATATGCTTATGCCGCCTGTATTATTATTGCAAATGGTCCGAATTTGCTCAAATGAAATGTATTCAATAGAAGTGCGTATTATTTCCTAATTGGCAGGCATTTGCATTAATATGCTTTAATTTTGATCTCTTTTGTGCTTTTGAGCTCCTTATGCAATATGCCACAAATTTCCTAATTGGCAGGTATTTGCATTAATATGCCTTAATTTTGATAGCAGATCAAGAGCGAAACTAAATCCCCTGCCGTTGTTAATAATACTACGCACGTTACTTAATCCTTTTCTGCCCGTCAAATCCTTCATCATTTAGGTTTTGTTAATTGATTCGCCCGAGCAAGCTGTGACCCACTGACTGGTGGGCTGCGGTGAGGGGGTGCCGGAGGGGCGTGGCGCGTGGTCGTAGCTGCCGCACTGCGTCCCTGTGTGCGTGGGCGGTGGCACGTAGCCGCATCGGTGAGCCTGCGAGTGTGTGCGAGTGGGCCGCCGCTGATTGGTCCGCTGCCCCCTGAGCGGCGCGCCGAAGACGAGCGGTTCCGAAGCGGCCTGGCCAATCGGAGAGCCGCCAAGACGCTCCAAGCGAGAGGCGCGTGGAGCGCCGATTCGAGTGGAAGAGCAGAGCGCAACAGGTTGCCGCTCGCCGGAGAGAGCGAGTGAGAGCGAGTGATGGTGGCAGAGAGAGCGAGAGAGAGAGAGAGCGAGAGAGAGAGAGAGAGAGCGAGAGCGAGTGAGTGAGTGAGGGAGAGAGCGAGTGCGGCCGAGGAGATAACAGGTTGTCGAGCGGAACATTGTGTGCACTTGGGTTTTCATTCATAAACTCAGCTCGCTGCAGCAGAGCAAAATGCTGCTGCGCCTGTTGCTGCTGCAGCGCCTGTTGCTGCTGCTGCTGCTGCTGTTGCTGCTGCTGCTGGCGCTGCTGCGGCGGCCTCTGCTGCTGCTAACTCAATGCGCTGCGGCGGCAGCTTACAGCTATCGTTTTCCGAGGCGACTGACGCCATTGCCACGCGAACGAATCTGCAGCCCCAGCCCAATCCCAACCGAGTCCCCATCCCACGCACCACCATCTTTGATCGCTCCTGAGCATCCGATCCGATTACCCCCCGAGAATCGGGAAGCCGGCCAAGTGGCAACGGTAAAATTGGTCCTTTGGTGCCTCCTCGAAGGCAACACAATACCCAGCACTACATACATACACACATGCGTACATACACTGGCAGAAATGCCAGCCCATCGTTGTGCATTTCGCCACGAGCTGTAAACGAGGGGTAACGAGGGGTTGGGTCAGGGAATCTCGCATATTTGCCCAGTATTTCCGATTTGGAAAGCAGTGGGGGTCAAAGAGCGCTCCTCTCTCTCCCTTCGACTAAGATTAAGATTAATAAAAAAAAGCTTTTTTAATAATGGCAGTACCTCTAGCTATGAATAACTAGGTGTATTTGCAGCGTTCGACTTGCATTATTTAGGAAAATGCCACAATTCATGGGAACACCATATGACCCATGCCCCATCGATGCTGTAACCTCTGAAAGGTGATCAGAATTCCCACCGTTGAGTAAGCCAATTCGATGTAACTGAACTTACATCGGAATAATGAAATATTTCGATAAACCGGAACTGATTGTGGGCCACCAGAAAACACATTAAGTATGCGGCTATCGGTATAATTTATTAATAGTCATAATGTAAATATATAAAAAAAATACACTTAAGTCATAGTTTTCATAAGTTATCGAGCCTGCGAGGCGGTGAATGTGTTCAGTGAGTGTGGTGATATATGTATATAAATAGGATGCAAAGGCGATATAAATACGTAAATATAGGGATGGGGCAATGGGGGCGAATAAGTTAATAAGTTAATAAGTTATAATAAATAATAGGGTCTAAGGCAGATGAGAGTGCGTGCCAGACGAGCACGGATATGTAACACGTGGGCATAGCCTATGAGCTTGAGATTGCATTGGGTTATCGGAGGCGATGATTTTTGGTATGGCTGCGTCCGCTCCTGCGGAGCATCTAACTCTGGCCAGCGGACTGCGAGTAGAGGTGGATCAGCTGCGCGTACTTGTGCTCGATGATGGTCAGCACCTTGATGGTCTCGACGGCGGCGCCGAACACAGGATGTATGTAGTGGGCATTGTACTCGGAGGTCCTGGGATTGCAGGCATCGTTCAGGCCGGCCAGCTTGAGGGCCTCGTGCATGTTGTGGTGGAAGAAGCTCACGAAGCTGTTGAAGTAGCAGTTCCAGGACATGTGATCGAACTCAATGATCTCGTACAGGTGCTCCAGCACCAGCAGTGACTCGATAATGGCCGGCATCTCCTCCTCCACCGTGGTCACCTTGCCGTCGTACACGAAGTCGTCCAGCTCCTTCTGGAAGCTGACCTTCTCCACCTCCGACTGGAGCGGATGCTTCACTGCCATCGAGTGCTTGGAGTAGGCTTGAATTTCGCCGCTCAGGTTGTGCTGCTGGCTCCTCAGCTGTTTTTCAATCGGAAATGGGAAATGGGAGCATCAGTACCACTGCTGTCGCACGACCAACAAGCTGGCCAACTTACCCATTCCTTGGTCAGGCAGAGGACCGCCTCCCGCGTATTACTGGCCACCTCGTGCGCCAGTTGCAGGTGTGAGATGTTGGTGGTCATTCTAATGGCCCCGCAGCTATCCCTGCCCTGGGTCTGATTGGTGCGCAGGGGTACGATGTTGCTCTTGGCCGACCTGATGTGCTGGTGGTGGTGGAGCGGCCGGGGGTGGTGGCGGTGCGGCAGGATCAGATCCACGCCGCGGGCGCGACGCGGTGCGGCGACTGTCTCCGCGGGCCAACTGATGGCGACTGTGAGCAGCAGCAGGATGCCCAGGAGCCAGCACTTGGAGACAGCTGCAATGCGAGAAGAAGAAAGGGCAGGTCAGTAAATGGGACCACTACAATGGATCTTCCTAATCATTTGTCACTAGCTTGCACAGCGATGACACAGTTAAAGATACAAAGATACGGATAAGGAGCGAAGTGATTCAGAGGCGTGAGGTGTGAGATCTTAAAGCACACTTAAGGCACACTTACAAATGCGAACGAAGCTGGCGCACACGGCGGTTTTGCTGTGCTCCTGCGGGCAGGACACCTTTGTCGCCGGAGCACTCTGCTGCTGCAGTCGCTCCGAGGACAGAAGCTCTGCGGATTCACATTTGCTGTAAGTGTTGGCACTCATATTGGATTTGTACGTTCGGCACTCGCGGTTCGCAGAGAGTAGTTTGTTTGTATTTTTCGCCAAGATTTTTTGGCCAAGATTCGGGTTGTTAGTGCGCTAAAGAGCTGGAATACTGGAATACTGGAATACTGGAGAGCTGGAGAGCTGGGGCTGGCGTGTGGGCTCTGCGAGATCTTACGGTTAATGAGGAGTTGGGGCACACGCCGGCGATTTAAATACAAACCGGACCGCCATCCGGCGATATCAGTAGCCGAAGCGGCACGAGGGACGCAGCGCATGGCCGAGCTTACGTTTTTTACGCACACATACATGCGCGGGCGGCTGGCACTCACACTTGTTGTGCTTGTTGTGCTTGTTGTGAATGTTGTGCTTGTTGTAGCGGCAAGTGGACAGAAACAACTACAGCAACAGCAACAGCAGCAACAACAGCAGCAACAACAGCAGCAGCCGCAGCAGCAGCAACGGCAGCATCAGCGAGCGATGTTTAATGACGATAATGAAAAAACCCCTGGAACGTAAGTGGAGTTCGGTTCGAATTTGCTTTTCTTGATAAACGGAGGTGGGGTGGGCGGCTGCTTGGATCGGCTTGCGCACTCAGCCAGGGACTAGCTACTCCCTGGCCAGCAGTTGCACCACCGCACATGACGCCTTGTTCCTTCCTGTCTTGCAACAAGTGCGTTGCCAGCCGCTGTAATTTATGCACACACGCTGCATGGCCCAAAACGGATGTCACATTGAATACTTGCACTTGCACCCTACGCCAACTAATCGGGCTGCTTGGCCCTCCAGTGCCAGTTGCCCACTGGCTTTAAGTTGATTTATACGCGCCTAACTGCTTCTTGGAACTCGCTGTATTAAGGTGTATTTCAGCCCAGTGCTCAGAACAGTATATCTTCCCAAACACTTTGACCCGCACACATTAGGGAATTTCGAGTTTTGTCCGCCATTTGATCAGCTTGAATACCGAGCTTTCTCGACTGGCTATGTGCATATTGAACATGGCCCAAAGAGCCGGGCATTGGCCCAGAAGGAATCGCGTTTACTTTGTTGAATTCGCGAATATCTCGTTGCTGTCAGCTGCTTCGGCGGCGCCTTCACTGCGGATACCGCAAACACTTGAATTACGTTCGCTAACTGGCGATTTATAGTGCGGGTGCGAGTGCGAGTGCGAGTGCCACTTGCCTGGGAAATGACGCGTCGTTCCGTAGGCATTTCCGATCGATCGCTTGGCACGAGGGCCACTGCGGTGCGTGCCACTGGATGGAATCGAGCACTTGGCCACTTGGTGGACTGGGGCAGGCGATCGGGCAGCACTGGGTATAAGAGACTGCGGCAGACAGAGTGTCTGTCTCTTCTACACACACAACATGGAACACACCATGGAACTCAGTGGCACACGCTTCTTGGCAGCGAGTTGCACACATGCAAGTCTGGGCACTGGAAATGGGTATATCGCGACCCAAAGCTCCAGAGAGTCCTATTCCCCGTAGATCTTTCTGCGTATTTTTTCAGCAGTCGGGCAATTGTGGAAGTTTTGTGTTTGCCCAATTGCTCGGGCATATCCACAATTGCAAACATTTCCGGAATTTAAGCTGACTTATTCCGGTTCGCCAGTGCTCGTCCAGAATTCAAGAATTGCAGAATTGCAGAGCTGCAGAACTGCCATTGCCCAGCAATGAGTAGTGCCTTCTGCGATTCTATTTGTACTTATTTCCCTATTTTGTTTTGCCCAGCCAGCCAATGTTGACTGTTAATTATCGCACTCGAGGAGGTGCTAACTTTGGCCACGCACAAATCCCGGCCTGAGCTCGGTAAACTTGCAACGTCATCCGGTTCGAGGGAGATCCGCTATCTATCGCTCGTTCCTGTTTGCCATTCCCTTTTTAGAAATGACCATTCCATTGATGAGCTCTTCCAGAGTGACGTACGTACTTAGTGTAGTAAAAAGCTTCAAACGGCCCCTTCTTACTGCGACGGAAATAGCTCATACTTACATATGGCGATAAGTCCGCCAGCCATATATTTAAATATAGCAAATAACCGGGACTGCACGCATTAACATCACCGACTTGCATTGTGTAAATTCTTGACAGCCTGATGCACACGAGACCTGAGATAATGTTGTCCGTAAAGTTATCAGGCTATGTTCACATGGAACGGAAGCAGTGCTTGATGCAACTCGGAACAGACCAATATATCCATCAGTTTATAGGTTCTAGTTGGCACACAGCAGGCATTTCAGACTGCATGGCTTTGAAGGTCTGGAAAATGGCTGTAGTGGCTAGTGGCTGGTGTACCTTAACACCAAGTCTTCTAATTTTGAAATGAAGAGCTTAGAAAACAGGCCAGAAATGATGTGGATGATGTGTGGAAATACCGAAGCTAATCATTGGATTATTGGGCGATTACCATTCGATTTTGTTATGCTGCAGAAGTCGCTGCTACTGAACTTAGCTGTTCTGCATGCAGCGACTTAAATAATTTATGTTTTATCGCTTTATCGCTTGGAATGGAATACTCCATTCGAATAGAATTCCCACTGTGCAAACTTCCGCATAAATGGTGCACGATAATATTCTGTTGGAAAGGCCGCACCTCAGTTAAGATGTAAGTGAATCAGGGCGTTTAAACGTAAGTCCTCGATGGCTCCCAATACCGGTTGCCAGCCAATGCCCTTGACCGACTGAAATCGTCGGTGATGTAAATGTAGAATCTAGAATCGTCATGAGGAAATACCCCCATTGGCTGGCAGTCACCTGTCATCTGGGAGCGGGCCGAACTGACCACAGACACTCGATGGCTATGGCTGGATGGGTAAATCACCGAGCGACGCTGCTCCGTATTTGCGTTGCTGTTTAGAAGCTCCCCCCAACCGGCTCCCTCCCCCCTTCCCGGTCCACAGCTCGCCGGCCTGCCGCGTCACCTACTATTCAGGTCGGAGCGGAGTGTCAACTAGCTCTGGGATCACGTATCTTGGATCTGGGTATCGAGCGACCGACCGACCGGCCGAGCGACTCACTTATTTGCCCAGCGCATTATATTATGAATGGAGGGCTGTGGGAAGCACTTGGGCGGAGTCGTGCCGCCTGGCAATGGCGGTAAGAAAACAAGGGGCTCGGACAGGTGAGAGAAGCGCCTATTTTTGGCACTGGCCGGCCATCATCCACCTCCACGAGTCGTCGAGGTGAGAGCGGTGACGCACTGGGCTTCCCCGAACCAGGTTCCTTCTCACATTAGCCGTGCATATTAAGTATACGTCACATTAAGTATACGCCGCGCTGCAACTTAAGCTTAACTTGCAACTTAATTTAGAACTCACCTCAGTTCTCTCACACGACGTGTTTTTTTTTCAATGCGGTGATTAGCTGCAAAAGTAAAAAAAACAGGGATATCATTATTTTTAGGTCGAATGCAGTGAGCTGCGAAAAATGCAAGCTTAGATTTTCCCTCCACTGGAAAGTTCAGCCCGAAAGTAGGCAGCGTTTGAAGGAAAAGCTTTCAGTCGAAAGCTTTCGAAAAACTGCACCATTTTCCATGGCCTACTTTCAGGCGCCTCTACTAACAGTCGCGTCCCAAAATAGTGGCATCCCTCAAGCAGCGGACACGTCTTGAGGAATTTAGCCATCATAAAGCAGCCATTTCACTTGACTGTCTCTCTCCCTTTCGTTCTTCTCCGGCATTCTTCTGCTTGATTTATTTGTGGTGCGCTGCTCGTAGTGACATGGCAACAAGCTACTGAACTTGGGGGCATTCCGGATAACTTCTTTACTTTGCCTTTCTATTACTATTATTTGTTGGTATAGGACTTTCAAAAGTTAGCTCTCCAAAGTGTTACTTATTTGTATTTGCTATATTTTTGCTAAAAATAATCCCTTACCATTCCAAGTATTTATTTTTCAAACTCCGTTTTGAAATGTTTAAATTTTCCACATATCATTAGTAAATCGTATTAGTATAAGTAAAAGTGAAGAAGAGAGTGTGTATACCATCAGTCATAAATGACTCTGAAATATAAAAGCTAAAAGAGGCGAGCCGTATATAGAGAATGCAATCAAACTGCAACCCGAATCACGTCTGACTGGCTAAAGTAATCTAGAATGCCCCGCAATCGCGCTTCTCTCTTTCTCTCCGATGTTTGGTTCTCTCTCATCGTCTAACAGCCGCGTACTGTGACTGTTTGCGATCTTCGAAGCGGTTCCCATTCGCATTGTTTACTCACCTTTTTGACGCTGGACAGCTGTGATGAGGGGCGTCACGCTATTAATGCTTTTGCCGCAGGCGGCCAGGTAAACCCACGTTAATTACGAGCCGCGAGAAATTCACGAAAAATCCCCGAACTAGCGGTGGATCTGCACACTTTTGACTACACACTATACACAGCGCACAGGTAAGGGATTAATTAGGAAATAAAAAAAATAAAAATTGTGAAAAGACGGACGCAACAGAACCGGCGAGGTCGAATGATGAAACTAAACTGAGGAAACTGATGAAGCGAACAGAATCGACAGCTGGAGGAGCTATACAAAAATCAACGGTGGTATACAACAAATCGCGGCAGAGAAACTGCTGTTTATTTGACTAATGTAAACGCAACTGTATCGCATACCAAAAGTTCCCATTACATTGTTTTGGAGTTTTTTTTAATTTCCCACGAGTCACGAGGTTCTATTTGAACTTAGAGTACCGATAGAGTTCTATGAATTTCCCTATCTATACGGCTCAACCAAAAAAGCACCAAAGTGTGCTAACTCTAAAGGGACGCGACTGTGACAGGGTGTGTTCCTGCGCTATAAGCATGGTTCGAAACTCGACTAGCTGGCCGAATTAGCAATTTAATTAGGACTTTAAATATGAAGGTAGCAATTATACACAGAAGACTAAGGACCAACACCCAGTAAGCCACCAGTAAACATCGCCTGCATGAATGCTTCAAAATGCCGTCCTGCTAAGCGCAGCATGGATAATTAGGCAAGTAATTATAATATGTGCACTATTTATTGCATGTCACCCATGGCAACAATGCGATGACAATGGAAGCTGTATAGCTGATCAGGCGGTAACAGATGCGGCGGTGCCTTTGTTGCCCGTTTCACATGCACACAACCTCCCCCCCTTCCCCCCCTTGGGCCGCCGTATGCGGCTTTCGAGTTTTACGCTTGAAATGAGGCCAGCCTTGACAGGTAGGCTCCTGCAGCTCAAAGCCATTTGCCACTGGCCACCAAATACCGCCCACCACCCACCAACACACCCTAGATGTGCCCCGTGCAAGGGGCATGCCCAATCGGCATGGACTTTGACTTGCCTGGCCAGGAACTTTATTAAACAAATTGAAATACTTACCACCATTCTTCAAGCAATGAAAGCAACGTCTAAGGATCTTATCCAACATACACCACTAATTCCACGCTTCGTTAAGAAATCAAGCAAAAGATACTAAAAAAATAAAGGAATCATAATAAACCTCTGTTCTAGAAACAAATTGCAATGGCATACAATTTAATGGTGTCCGAAATTTATACAACCACTTGCAGGGTATTTCAATGTCCAATGCTCCATCGGGCCGGATTGCCGGTCCACTTGGCTGTCGAGCAGAATGCTGAAGCTGATGCGAGCCCCGCTGGCTGTTTGGCCAGTCAAGCGTTGCATAAAGCGCATTAACATTTAATGCCTGTTGCGGTCGTCCTTAGTCCTTCGCCCCATGCCGCCGCCCTTGCCACTTGGCGCTCATCCAGTCGAATTTGCGTTGCATATTTCGAGGCGCCGACCGAAACGGAGCTGCGGTGGGTTGGCTGAATAGATGTTTGATTTATGGCCGGCTCACGCGGGGCAGCACCGCTCGGTGGACGAGTGGACGAGTGGAATCGTGTACGGGAGGCGAGCTGGTGTGGTGACTTGGTGGCTCGCCAGGTGGGTGCACCTGGAAGATCTGCGCGATGCGCCGCCGGCGTCCATCAATCAAGGGCAGCTGAAAGCGATGCCAAGCCCGTTCCCCAGCCCAAATGAAAGCGTCTGCCATCTGTACACATAAACTATTTATTTCCGTATATATATATATATATATATATATATTTATAGGTATATATATATATATTCCATATGTATATATAGATGTATATGGGTGTATATTTAGCTGTATATTGGATATTGTATGTGTGGTAAAGTACACTCGCCTGGTGCACATCCTTAAACGTTCTCAGATTTTGTCGGTTTCGCCTCGAAAGCACGGCTTACAAAGAGCACACATACACACACAGGTGTGTGTACGAGTATGTGTGCGGATGTACATATGCATGTGTATAAGTACTGCCTGCCGACCGATTTATCGTTCTTCCATTCGCCATTTAATTAGCTGTATTGTATTTAATTTGGTTTCTTTTACATTATGTGTCATCAATTGATTGTTTTACATTCGGTTGCATTTGGATTTTGGCTTTTTAAAAAAAAACTCAACTTCTCTCGCTATCCCCTTGCTAGCGTACGCATAATTATGTACAAACGTATTCCCAATGCTCCTTCCGCTATTTACACAGATATATATCCTAAGTATATATGCATGTCAGCTACTTTTCGTGCCATTCTGCTGCTGCTCCTCCGCCGCTCCTCCATTGCCTCTTTACTCACTAGATTATGCGTAGTTTTGCCCACTTTTCCCCCTGGGTTTCCTGCTCGGAACCCAGAAAAAGCCCGAAGAAACAAAAAAATATTTACGAGTATGTATGTATCGCTTAACATCGAAATCATGGATCGCTCGAATCAAAGTACACACATTGGATATATCCGTATCGCTATATATCTATTTATCTATATATCCGTATCCCGAATACCGCACACTAAGAGAGTTATGGGTATTGAATATTATTTGCGTTGGGCGACAGTTGCCAATTAACACTACTAAAGTACTGTAGTCGGTGGTAACCGCTTGCTCGTATGTAGTCTTAGGTTTTACGCACACAAACAGACATGTGGATAAACATTAACAACAATTGAACAACGGTAATTACAATTGCACGACATCGACAACGTCAACAACAATGACAATGACAATGACATGGCAATGACATTCGGTGAAAATAACCAGCGGCGGCTTAGGTTCCATCTATGGAAATTCAATAAGTTCCGATTTCGCAGCTGATTATTTATGGGGCATATTCTTCGGATGCATTATTATCTCGATAGGGTCACATACGAGTACATATGTGTATACGATGTTATATGTTTGTAGTTATAAATCTATGCACATTCAATGCTAAATCAATCGAAAAAAATTGCATCCATATTGTTTAGTATTCGTGTATGTATGGTATACACGTATTGTATATGCGGTACATATATGTATAAGTAGTATATATGTACAACTATCAAAAATAGGACAAATAGAACTTGAGAGTTTCTTTGGCCTGCTCTGCACGGCGCATCTGCTGGAGTTCTGCGATCCTCCAGATACAGATGCCCTTCTAGTCCCCCCTCCCCTCCCCTCGCATTGCCCGGCGCCCGTTTTTGTACACATTTATTGTTACATAGTGTAGATCGGTAATAGCAACGATATAGAACAACAGTTAGATCAATCGAATGATGAGCAAAACGTGGACAACTTTAGTTAGCTGCGACCAAGAAGGATCGCACTTGTAAATAGTTGAAATATATGTATATACGGTATATATTTGTATTTACGTGTAGGTATTGTATATGCATATACTTGTATAGATATAGATCAGTATTTAGGTAAATCTGCCGCTCTTAAGCACTATATAACACACTGAAAGTGAAAGTTAACTTTGGGTTACCTCCTTGAGACACGCACATGGAAATCGAAGTCTAAAACACATTTGTCGGGCACATTGAGATACAATTCGGATAGATGGATAATATATATTGTGTGTATGTTATATTGAGTAGTTGCGTCACTACATTGCAGTCGCCCAATCTCCTGCCCTCCGCATCCATCTGGCCATAATCAACGCCATTGGCTGCTGCCTCTTGATCAAATTGACAAATTGACAAAGCCAAATGCCGCTTATAGAAACACACATGATGGATAGCAATATTGACTGATTGACTGATTGTTTGTTGGTTTGTTTGTTTGTTTGTTTTACTCTACTCTATCTCTCCCTTGCTCTTCCACTTTCTCTTTGGCTATCTGACACTCCCATGTTTGGCAATACTGCAATTGCAAATTTCCAATCTGAATTTCTTCGTTAATTGATTTTCAAACTTCTTCCTGGGAAACTTCCTCCCCAACTGGCAATTTTCAGCTTTTCTGCTGCGGCTGCTGCTGCCTGCGAATTATTTAACGTTTAACATTAAATATTCAACGCGAACATTAATTTATATTCGATTTTCGAATTCAATTCATCTCGACTCGATTTAGTTTGGCATTTGCTGTTTGTGTTGTGATTTGCGAATTTGCGATTTTGCGATTTTGCGCTTTTGCGCTTTTGCGCTTTTGCGAATTGTGATTTCTGATTTTTGCCTCGAGTAAGCTCAGATTGTACATACAAATTACATTTATTGTGTGGTTTACATTGATTAAAACTCTTGAGTCTGTAGACATTTACTTCTTATTCTGCGTAGATAAATATGTATATTCGTATATTGTAACGTGCTTATATGCACGTAGCCGTGCTGATTTCATTGTGTTCATATGTGTTCATTGTGATATGGTTGTGGCAACCGCTGGAGCATCATCTTGTGCCCTGATTCACCCGATTGTTTGCTACTCGATATGCAACGACCGATTTGTGCATCTGCCAAGGTTGCCTCATAAATACATTCAATGTGTTTGTCTGTGTATTCCTCCGATGTGCATGCATGAACATGCTGAACATGGGCACCAAAAAAAAAATCCCTCCATATATGTATGTAGATATACATGTAGGTGGTTCCATTGCCATATTGGCAATGCATCAACAAGTCCCCCTTTACATCTTTATTAAGGGACTTACTCCTTCAACGGGACCCGCTTAAATTGCTCTGCACGTAGAAAAATATGTGTATATTCTCTGCCCTCTGCCCTCTGCTCCTTCTCGTCCCCCTCGTCGTTTACAAATGGTATGAAAATGTATGAGAATATATACATATATATATTTACACATATATATATGTACTATATTTATCTTTTATCTGTATCTTTAGCTATAAGAGGTCTGTCCCGTCATCCTTGTTGCGGAGGTAAAATGGGATGAGGTGTTGTGTGCACCGATTCCTGATATCTGATTCCATTTCCCTGACTCCCCTGCAGCGTTGCCTTAAACTCTATCGGTTATCGCTTAAATATCTGCCTATCGATCACTGTCTATCGCTTATCGTTTCACCCTCTCCTCCTCTCACTTACCATTACCGTTATGCGTAAAGTTACTTGTACCGTTAAAAGTTGCTCTCTTGTACTCTTATTGTTCACCGTTAATCGGATTTCAGTGCTATCTGGTTTCGGTGCTTCGATTGCGATTTTTCGTTCTGGCTAGGGGTATTGTAAAGGTGTATACATATATGTAGGCGCAGTAGGTAACTGTGTATTGCTGATTAGTTATATTCCCTCCATTTCATCCTTCATTTTGTGCTCGTGTACCGCTATACTCGTACACCAGCCGGATTCTCCTTCAGGTATCAGATTAGCGAAAGCTCCTGCAGTGTTTTTGTTAAAATACCAGGTATACGGTTTGCTTTGTAGTTCTAATTTCTCATTCAGTTTCCATGTACCGACAGATCAATCTTCCTGCCGGCCTTTGCATGTTCTCAGTGTTCTCGGTGTTCTCGGTGTTCTCAGTGTTTGATTCAATGTGTTGTGTGATGCGTGTGCTGTCAATTATTATTATATTGTTTGTGAGTTATGTAAGTGCTGTGATTTTGCTGAATTATGTGCATCTGCTTTCGCACGAAAGGCAGACGTTGCTATGCTTTTAATCTGCCATTAAGCCTCTGCTGCTGTGTTATGTAAAGAATTCAATGATGATTACTCCTGCTTCGCTTATTGTTCACTCGGTGATGTGTAAGCTTTCAACTTCAATTTCAACTTCAACTTCAACTTCGTTCGATTCGTTTTGTTTTCGGATTTCGATAAGGATTTTTGGATCTCAGAGGTGCAAGTGGCTGGTTAAAAGTGCACACAGAACGTAATATAACAATGTTAGGATCAGGATATTTGGTTTGCTGCGAACGATGTCGGGGCCATTTATTCATGAGCCGCCGAGATGGTTAGAAATCAAAGGACCTGCGTTCTTAGAATATTCAATGTACCTTTCCAAGAATTTCTCAAGACATGGCTTGGCGATTCTATTTTAAAATCAGTTCTCTTGAAAAGCTGCAATTTGCGCGGTAGTTTCGATTCTTAGAATCGAATTGCATTCACTACGACACTAAGCTGAGTACCAAGTTATTTTGGGGTATATTGAAAGCTCTAAGGAAGCAGGAGGTAGAGCCTTCCTTAATTGCATGATATAGGGATTCGAAGGATTCGCAAACTTACCGGTGTGCTGCTCTAGACGGGACTCGGCCCATTGCCTTACTTGCCTCTGCGCCCCGCGACCTATTTGACGAAGAGGTCCTTGAGCGTGGCGCAGAGCGAGGCGTCACAGGTGTCCTTGGAGTCGTCCTCGTCGGCCTTGCCGAACCAATTGAGCGTGGAGCGGACGGCCCGGCCGGCCTGCGATTGAGCCGAGCTGCTGGCGGATGGTCGATTACGCCGGGCACCGTGGGCGGGACTGCCGCTGGCGCTGCCCGAATCCCGGCCCGCCTTGGGCGTAGCACCGCGTGCCGCTGCCGATGTGGAGGCACCGCCGCCGGAAGATCCGCCCATGCTGGCATTGGAGCTCTTGCGCAGGAAACCCTCGATGGCCGTGCCCAGAATGGTGGCATCCACCGTCGCCTTGGTGGACTCCGCCCAGGTCTTCTGCTTGCTCCTTGGCTTCAGCTTCGGCTTGCCAGAGTCACCACCCAGCGGATCCTTCTTCTGCAGCCGCTCCAGCACATCCTTGGACAGCGCCACTGCCGAACTCTTGCTCCGGACACTCTTCTTGCGCGCCAAGGGCGTGTGCCGCTTGGCAAACCAACCGGACAGGGTGGCGGATCCGTTGTCCTGGACATCGCTCACCAGCTGCTTGGCGTTGTTCAGCAGCGACACATCGAAGCTGTTGGATCGCGTCGACCGGCCGGCATTGGGATCGAGTAGGCCACCTGTGGTTCCAGATGCCCCACCGCCTCCACCACCTCCGCCGCCCACCGCCAGTGATCCGATGTGGGCCGTCGGTGTGGGCGTAGCACTGGTGGCACGCCCACGAGCGGCCGCCTGAAACGTCTGGCTGAGAAACGGACTACTGGCCGGTGCCGTTGCCGAAGAACTGGCACTTGAGCTGCCATCCCGACCTTCTGGTTCTGCCCGGTGCACATCCATGGCCGAGCTGGTCAACGAACTAAATATGCCGGCGATATCTGTACGACTGCCCAGGAGTCCAGTGCCACTGCCCGACTTCTTGCGACGCGTCGAGGCACGAGCAGAATTCTGCTGCTGCTGCTGCTGCAGCTGCTGCTGCTGCTGCTGCTGCTGCTGCTGCTGCTGCGACGGCGGCAGCTCGGAGGCGCGGCGAAAGGAGCTGGCCAATCCTGGCTGGGGGCATTCCGAGTAGCGACGGTTAGTGAATCGTCGGCCCGGCTGGCCGGAGCCCGCCTCGTCGACGGTCTGCACCTCGCACACCTTCTCGTTGGAGGAGGTCCAGAGCTTCAAGCGCGCCTTGCGAGACTGCAAGTAGATGTCGTCCATGATGTCCAGCTGCAGGTTGTGGATGCTGCCGATGGGGTCTGTCGATGGGGGTCCTGTGTTGCTCTCCCGGCGGGAGCTCAGCACCCGACTGCTCCTGTGGTCATAATAACGAATAACAGATAATCGATTGCTAAATATTCTCGGATGAGTCGCAACTGCATAGCGCAATTTGCCGTCGGCTAACGAAAGGACTATGCAAATACAAATTGAATTTCTAAAATACTTCAAAGCAGTGCAATGCAGCTCAATTATTGGAGTGTCAACAAGTGTGCACAACTGTCTGACCTGCTTCCAATAGCAGACACAATTTTTGTGGACATTTTTGTGGATTCCAAAGCCCTATTAAACTATTGAGTTGTGCAAACTGAGCTATAAATCATTGTGAATATACAAGAATATGTGGCGATTGACTTACCCATTGCTGTTGGGATACGCGGCCACGGATTCGCGGCGCGAGCGCCCAAAGAGAGTGGTGGGCACCTTGGAGATGGTCACCACCGAGTGGCGACGTCCGGTGGGCGCCGGTGCCTGCGAAAGGGTGGCCAGGAAGGCGGCTTCCTTGGGTGTGGGCCCGGATCCCTCGCCTCCGCGCTCCGAGAGCCGGCGCACTTGGCTGGCCGTGATGCCGTCGGTCACCTGCTGCGAGGGCAGGGAATGCTTCCTGGCCTCGCGAGGATCCCGCCAGGGCGAGAGCAGATACGGATTCACGGGCGAGTCGATGTCCAGGCTGCCGCGATTGGAGACCGTCGGCTCGGAGCTGTCGTCCTGCTCCTCCGGCAGATTGGACTCCTCCACCACAATCAGCGGCTCGGGGGCACTGATGCCATGTGCTCCCATCGCCTGTGGGCGTTGCGGATACTGTGGGTGTGGCGGTGGGCGGGGATGGCCCGGTCCGGTCGACTGGCCCGTAAATCGGGCGAATGGTGAACCCCGGAAGCGTAGCGCATCTGCGGAATGGAGCAGTTAGTATTGCCCTACTTGCTAGTTTAACTTCACTAATTAACTTTCTGTGATTAAAGATACAAGCTGCGATTGTTGCATGATCAGTACAGCACATGATCAGCACAGAAATGAATCTCATGTTCTTTAAGATAAACAAACTGTTGAACGAACGAACCTAAACGATGTTAGACTTTTGGGTCTTCAAGAATATTTAGCAAATTTGAAACTAAGCCCACAATTTCGTTCTAAGCCGCAAAATCACTTGCGCCCTATTAAATTGCCTAAATATCTGCATTTCATAAACCATACAATTAATATATAAACGATATATAATATTGATGTTTATGCAGTGCACATACACTTTGTACGGCTTTCTGGCTGCCACCAATGAATCCTGGCAATTGCTGCAGCACCAGGTGTAAAATGCCTGTCCTGCGATAGGCCACAAGGTGTCCGACTTGGTCGAGTGGTTCATTAGTGGCTCGTCTGGCTGTCACTTACCCATTTTGCACAATTGCTCAATTGCTCGCCAGCGGGGAATTCGCTACTGACTGTCTTCGGGGTCTGGGCAATCTGCTTCCGACTCCTGCTCTCCGGTGTTCACTGTCCTTTGGAGTGTCCTTGCTGCAAAGAAGAGCAAGCCAGACGTCCAATAAGCGATGGGCATGAAGCCATATTTTGTATGCCCTTGGTGTGGAGTATTTAAATGGGATACAGATTAAATTGAGATACAGATTTAATAGGTGGTATCTTTATCTGTTACACAACAGTCTGTGAATGTTTGCAGCACTTTTCGCGTTGTGCACTCAAATTTCGCTATCCACGCAGCGCATGTATACTTCTGAAATCGCGAAATTCTGAAATCCTGGGAAACCCGGGAAATCCCGAAGCCCGAAGGGTATTACAGTCGGTACAACCAGCTCATGTGTGAATATTTTCCGTGTGCCCCGCAATCCACTGGCTGTATCCGTGTGGCAGGTTAAATAATGCCGGGGTTAGTTGCGCTCTTCCTTCTCATTATCCCCGGCTACAAATTGCAAATGGCAGCAAAATCATGCATCAAAGTAATTAAAGCCACTGTCCAGGGACTTTTCGCTTCGCTGGAGATGAGTCCCCCCATTCCCGTTTGTTGTTTGCTCCCCTATTTTCCTGTTAGGGACAGCGACAAACCGACAAACCGACAAACCGACAATCCAACCAACCGACAGCCCGACATCTAAACATCCCGGCCATAATAAGCATGAAATTATGCAAAAGTTGAAATGAAATTTCGCCACAGCTCAGATGCCACTGGAGTTTCCATTCCGCTCGCTTTTCACCGGGCTAATGGCGATGGAGTCGAAGCGGCAACCTCAACTTTGGCCAGGAGCAATAGGGAGCTCTTCGAATGCAGCCAAACGAAAGCGACCCAACGTCCACGCATCCACATTGATACCTTTGCTGCACATTTCAAGGCAGCCACTGAATGGCCAGCGGATGTGATCAGTGCGCAACTTTTATGAGATCAGCCGAACGCAGCTGTGATTTGATTCGATTTGACTTGGACCGCCGGCATAGTCAGCTGACATCCTGTATCCAGCACCCAGCACCCAGCATCCAGCATTCAACAGCCTCATCCGCCGAGGACTCAGCTGCAACTTGGGCAGCTGAAAGTCGCCAGCCGCAAATCACAGGTCCCAAGACCACAGTTCCGAGTCGCAAGTCGCAAGTCGCAAGTTCATTAAGCTTGTAAATTGGCAATCAACACCAAAGTTGCGGCTTTGTGTGGGAGCTAATTAGCCTGTCTATGCCACTGACAGGACCTCGCTCTCTCACTCGTTGTCGAGCGCTCCTTGCCCTGGCAATTATCCTTCCGGGAAATGCTTCGCGCCTTTATAGTCCGCACGCTGCGAGGAGTGAAAAACTTGAAAAACACCGAGCTAATCCAACTATATAAGCGAGCGCATTACTAAACCAATGCATGCAGGCTAACAAAGTCCGAGAGACCAAAAAAAGCGCTTTCCTGCATTTAAATTAAGCCTAGCACTCGGCTGTAGGCACCCAATGTTTTTGGGGATTTTCAATTAAGCACAGGCCGACTGCATGTCCCGTGGTTTCGAGTGAAAGGAAAACCTCAGTGGGGCTCATTTTGGGCGCCCTGCAGTTAGTGTATTGGCCCTTTATTGCATGTCCTTTTTTGCCATTATTGGCCCCCCCTACGCCCTTTTGTGAGGGCCCTCCTGCCGTCCAATTGTGCAGTTAATGAGGCCAGCAGGACCACCTGCCAAAGTGGTTAACATACTGGGCGAACAATCAGCAATGTCACCAGTTGAGTAATCCTTTCCCACTGACCGTGTTCCTTTGAGGAGCAAAGGCGAGGCGCATTCCGGATTTCATCCAATTACACGGGACAGGGGGGCACATAATGGTTGAGCGTGATTCTGTGTGAAATTGATAACCGCACGGTTGCTTCTGCATCTTTATCAATCTAACTCAACGTTCATTAATGGCCAAATGAAACTAATTGAGATTTATCCGCCATATTTGATAAGTTGCATGTACACAAGTGTGGTGAAAGTTTTCCATCGATTTAAGGAAAATCAAATGTCACTTCAATTGATTCTCAGGCACCGACTCCATTTCCCTCGGCCAGTGATGTGTGTATTTGGTTAGTTGATTTGAGTTGCCACACTCGACCACTCCACCCAATTTTGTGGGTGATTGATTGACTCGGGTCCGCCAGCCAGGCAGTGTCACAGTAAAGGAGGGAACAGGGAAACATGGAAACGGGGGACGCAGTCAGCACAGATCTGGAGCAGAGGACGATTGACAGATGGACGCACTGTCCACCACTTCGTTGTCCCTGTTCGGGCGCCACGCTCAATTTCAGCTTAGCTTTGTTTAATGGACTTGCACAAAAAAGTTTACAAAGCACTTTAGCCTGGAAATGGTGGAGCTGGGCTAAAAGGATATCAATCAGCATCGTGGGCAACTTTGCATATTAATGGGCATTAGCACAACTCGCTGGGGCACTTAATTATCCAGGGATATGTTTATCCTTTACTCTTTTTTATCGCCGCCACTTTACCTGCGTTTAGCTTATACCCTGTATGCGTTGGTTTTCGGGCCGGTTAGAAGGCATCGAGTAGTTACCAAGAACCGCCTTTGCAAACTCCCACTGATTTGCCATTTTCTGGAGAGACATTTATAGATAGCCCCCTTCTCACACACACATCGGCTTTGGCTGGGGTGGACATTTGAAAGGGCAAAGGTTAGGGCTAAAACCGCATATGGCCACCGGCAACACCGCTTTCACATTCAGCATCCAGCATCCAGCTTCCATATCACCATAAGTTCCAGATTCAGTGCCACATTGCCATTCGCATTCGCATCGAGATTCAAATGGTCGGAGAAAAATGTTTTTTCTCTGTGCGTGCAACTTTCACCATTTTTTCCTGTCGAACTGCCCTCCGACTGAGGGTATATCAGGCAGGTCATAAAGTTAAGCGTTGCTGTTTACCAAGGATGTTTTGAATTGATGCCAAGCGGAAGTGGCAAACAGGCGTGCAACTACTGGCTTAATACATTTGGGAAAAGGGTATTCCATAGTCCATCAGCCTGGCGCTAAGCTGCTGAAGTAGTCAAAGAACACCTTGCACTGGCTTATGCGGAGTGCGGATGCGACTCGGTATAGGAACATCATGATTGCGGCATTCTTGGCTGACTTTGACATGCTGTCTTGTATCTCGCAGCAGTTGCACCTGGCAACGGAAGTGAGTTGCGGTTGCATGGGTGCAACTGAGATGCGGATACGGAAAGGTCAGTTGGGACTGTGGTTTGGTGCAATTAGGTGGTCAGGGAACTTGTAATGAATAGCGTCCAAAAAGTCAGGCCTCGCATTCGCAGCCTTTGACTTTGGCTTACACTTAGCTTTCAACCGCTTTTCGACTGGGTCTTTCTTCTTTTAGGGTGTGCTTTAGAACCTGCTGTACCCGTACAATGTGTCCATTTCCTATGTGCAATTGAAAATGTTCTCGAAACGAAACTCCCTAGCTTCCGCTTTCTTCCGTTCCTTCTGTCCTTGCCTCTTCCGTTGCCTCTCGCCTGGAGATCTGCTTGACAAGCTTGTTTATGGCATGCAACAACGCAAATGCGGCCAGGATGTGCAAGGGGCCATGGCCAAGGACTCAACCTCAGAATCGGCATCAGCATCAGCATCAGCAGCATGAGAAGATGCGTTTGTGCAACGGTTCCTTGGAACTTCCGCTTTTGGTTTCGATTTTGTCGCCCCTTTGGGGCTTTGATAACATTGTTATCGCCAGTCCCTTTGTATGCACTATTTGTTGTGGTATTATTATTATTTTTTTCCTCTTGTTATTCGGCAATTTACAACTAAAAAGTTGCAAGAGGATGTGTGTGTGTCTGCCTGTTGCGTAATACATTAACGCGGCAAGCGGAAGCGGAAATGTCACACATTTGCTGCCGCTGGCAACATTGTGGCAGCAGCCGAGCTGCGGGCCAGGAAGCGAAGCGAAAATAGCAATCAAAACTTAACTGAATTGCAGCACATGACGGCAGAGGAGGCATACTACCCCCATACTACCCCCATACCCATCCCCATCGCCATCGCCAGCCCCATTTCCATGCCCATTGCCGACCTCAGCCTCGTCCTTGTCGTCCTTCCAATGCACACGCCTTCACCTACAAAGTTGGTTGAGCGAATTAAAACATAAATGCATTTGCTGCAGAGGCCAGCTTGGAGCCAAGATGAATCCAAGTGGGCGGGCGCTTACTCCTAATCGAATCGAACCGTAGTGGATTAAGTGAAAATGCCAGAAAATTTGCATTGCCTGGGAAAATGTGCAAAAAACAGTGGGGCGAAAAACAAGAAGTAAATGGCGAGCAGGCAAGAAAAAAGAGAGCTGTAAAACTGTAAGCTCTAACGCCCACTGCCCATTACCGCCCACTCTGTCTGTGTGTGTGCTTGTGAGCGTGTGTATGCGTGTGTGTGTGTGTGTGGTTGTAAGCGTGTGTGTGTGTCGTCCTTCTCTTTTATGGAACCATACAAATTCGTTGGCCATTGAACGAAAGCAAGTCCTGTCAGCCAGCTTTTCCTACACCCCCAGCTCCACCTCGTCCAACTCCTGCTCCTGCTCCTGTTCCTATCCGAGTTGGTCCTCCTTGGGTGCTGGGCTCTGTCTGCTCTTACTTTGCTTCCAATTGAATCAAATTGAATTCAATTGAATTCGCATGCTGCTCATTGAATTGCACAGATTATGGCTAAAATACAATTTTAATTTCACAGTAAAAAGTATTACGAAATGTTTGCTCGCTTTTTTTTTACTTTCGCGCAGTCTCTCTCTCTCTCTCTTTTTCTCTTGCTGAATGAGAATGGAATCACTTGTATGTAAATACCCTGTAGCTGTGTATTTTAACCGAGTAAGGCTGCGGCGAAATATCATTTCATGGATATTAACCACGTAATTACACAGAAATCCAAATTGAAAACCCAATATACTGTGTACCTGTGTGCATAATCAACACAGAATATTCGCTAGTTTATTTGTGTGTTTACACTAACCCATACTTATGATGTTTTTTTGTTGAATATATTTACTTATTATCCCTCCCCTCCCCTGTTTGTC